TATATATATATATATATATATATATATATATATATATATATATATATATATATATATATATATATATATATATATATATATATATATATATATATATATATATATATATAAACGATAAAAGGTATTTTTTTTTCTAACTCTAATATTTGAATCCACGACCTGTATGACACATCTCCATATTAGCAACATGAATAGATAAAACAAATAAAATAATTATAAGCACCGAGCACAATATATATTATTTCAAATCATTATTTTAGATCTTGAAACGATATTTTCATGTTGTAGTTTACACATGTTTAGGTTGTGTCACTCGTCTAAAACTAATTGTGAGGAAGAAGACTGTCATAAAAAAAAATTAATTACTTGCCAAAATCATCACATTAATAAAATTTCACCCACTGATTTGGTTGTGCATCTAGGCCCCTCTTAAAGCACTTCTTTAATGATGTTAATCTTTAGGTTTTGTATAATAAAATGATTTTAGTTTAAACAGTAAGTACACAAGATAAGGCTATGAGATGAATCTATAGTTTACGCACCAAAGAAATTAACGATACCCCATCTGTCATGAAAGATCAAGTCCAATAGTATGTTTACTAAAATAGTTTTTTATTTTTTTTTTTATTTTTTTTTTATTTTTTTTAAACATCTACAATACATAGTTTAAGAGCATTCGGTGAGTGCAACATGATGTAATATTAAGTTGTGCCAACTCACATGCTAACAACAAGTAGAAAAATTAACAACAAAATGCTACACAAACTTTTTGAGAATAAATATCTCTTATTTTTTTATTTTATTTTTTTCGAATTTGGATTTTTTTCCCTTTTTCAATTTTTTTCCTTTTTATGTTTTTTTAATCACTAAAATCAATATATTTAAAAAAAATATTAAAACAAAAAAAGAAGACATAATATTTTAAATCTAAAATTACGATTACAATTAAAAAAACTTAATTTTATACCTAAAATCATAACTAAAGTACAATTTAAATTACTCATAAAATCATAATTAACCCAAATATTTCTTCTTAATTTGTTCATTCATTGCTTGTAGCACCGCTAGATCGTCAGACACTAAACCCTCATCGTTCGTCTGAAGAATTGACAACTGATATTTTATTAGTTCCCTCTCTTTTTGTTCTTGCTTCTTCCGTGCCTACCTTTCTAGGAACTCCAAATGATGATATTTCAAGTTATTTTTTTATTAATAAATTGTGCTTGTCGAATTTCGTTCTCATTTCCGCCTTTTTTTGCTTTCGCCTCAACCTCCTCTGCATGCCTTGCAGCGTATCTCGTTTTGTCGTGTCCGAACGGTTGTTGTGGTGGAGATATCTCTTCGATGTCATCCGAGATCTCATCGGTGTCATCGTTTAGGTTGATGTGAGTCCGTGCATCCGACATGTCGACCGAGTTCGAATTGCGAGACCATTTGGATTGAACCTTCGACGATGTAGGCATTTATTCCATTTTGGATCCGCTCGCAACAACTCCCATGCTTTTTCAAACTCGATAACATGTCCCATTTCGACACGATATTGTTCTTTTGTAGTTTTGAACAAATTGAAATTGTTGGTTCCGCTTTGCTGTTGTGCCTTAACCCGGTTGTAAATACCGTTGAATTTGCTGCACCGCTTAGTTATTTAACTCAATTTGCTGCTCAACATGTCATTATTGCGATACAAATTTTTCTTCAAAATAGTGTGAAATTTGTCGCGCACTGCCCTCCAATAAGTTCATTTCTTCGTTTCATTTCCGCGGAGTTCGTCTTCTGAAGTAGTACACCAAGCCGTCGTCAAAGCATATTCCTCCACCAGTATCCACCATTGTGGAACATCTGCATTTTCTATTTCAACAGCTATCGATTTCTCTTTTGATTTTCCTTTTCCGTTCCCTCTCCTAATACCTCCTGCTTCCACTTCAACCATATGGTTGTATTGTAGGTGGTGGTTGGTTGGTTATTTGTTGCATCGAAGCAAAAGTAGGGAAAAGATTTTGTTGTAAATTTAGATTTTGACCAAACATATTTTTTTGAAAGTAAGGTGATTGGAGAAATTGTTGTGGTGGTGAAGCGGAATTAAAAGCGGCGCCTTGTTATGAAATTTGTAGTAATCATTGAGACGATAAAAAGGTTGAAATAATTTTCATAAACTACAAATCCGAGATGCGAGGTTGTATTTGGTTGTGTGTTTGAGTTTGATGATGGAGGGAGGGGGGGTCTTTGGGTTTTGCTGATTTTTTGGATTGAGAAGAAACTATGAATTTTTTTTTATATATAAAATATAAGAGAAAGAGAGAAAGAAAGATGTATATAATGAAATGAAAGTTGTATTTATATAAGGTTTAAAGGTAAATTTTTTTAAATATCATTTTGGCACACTTCATTTATTCAAAATCTACGCGTTTTGCCACGTTGTAAGGAGCACACACACTACAAGAAATAAGAGGCGTCGCTGATAAAGGTCCAACATGTCGCTGCTAAAGGTATTAGCGGCGACATGTCAAAACTAAAGGGTCGCTGCTGTTGGCTTGTCGCTGATGCTCTATTCGTCGTCGCTAAAGTTGCGTCGCCGCTAATGCTCTCCGTCGCCACTAAAGGCGTTGCTGATATTAATATGTATTTCTGTTCATACAAATACACATATACATACATATTACACATACAAAATTCACATATACATACGAAAATACATACAGATACATAATACACATATACGAATGAAAATACATACACATACATAATACACATACGTATACATAAAAATACATATATACATAGGATTGCACATACAAAACACATATACATACATAAAATACATTCAAAATACACATATACATACAAATGCACATATAAATACACATCCATATCTACAAACACAAAATACACATAAAATACACATCAATGCTACAAATTTAGTAAGGAGAAGTGAAAAGGAAAAGGAAAAGGAGATAATGGAGCAGAGATGGGTGAAATTGTGAAGGTTTTTGTGAAATTCTGATGAGGTCATCGACAATGGTGAGAAAGAAGAATGGAGAACACAGAAAAATAGAGTAGAGAGGGGTTTTATTGTCAACGGTCTTTAGCGGTGACGAGGACTCATTAGCGGAGACACATGGGAGGGAAAACAATGTGGGGTTTTCTGCATCGTTGTATCATCTCTTAAACCGATATATGAGATTGAAATGACGCGGATCGCCAAAATAAGCCATTAGTGGCGACGCGCACTCTTTAGCGGTGATACACTGGAGGGAAAACAACCGGATATTTCTTATGTCATCCTAGTCGTAGGATCATCTCTTAAATCGACGAATGAGATTTAAATGACACGGATTGCCAAAATAAGCTTTTAGTGGCGATGGAGACTTTTAGCGGCGACAAAAAAACACGTTTGTTTTTTTTCGCCGCTAAAAGTCCCCGTCACCGCTAAAGGCATCACTGCTATTGCCGGTTTTTCTTGTAGTGGGAGATGACACAACGAGAAGTAACAAGAAGGGGTGGCGGTGTTCCCCGTTACTACGCTTTTAAGGCGTGTTCACGTCGACAATAACGAAAACGAGATAACCCATACTGTGTGCTCAAAAGAATGGTTGAATGATTAGGAATTCCTAGCTGGCATTCACGGGGTTAAGCATAACCATAATTGGATGCCAAGTTGACATTGGAACTCAATGACTATAACGGCTAAAACAAACTTTTCTTTAATATATATTTCATTAAACATTTTGGAGTATAATGTAACGGAGAACAACATTTTAAAATTGTACAGAAACGTGAACTATCGATTTGTCCATCCATTAAACCTCGTATATTTACTTCATTGGGAATGCCTCATTTACACGAACCATAATGTATCAAGAATATAATGTAATTGTATTAGGTTTTAGATGCGTTTAAATCAGACATATTAAAGGGATTTGAATGATATGCATGGTGCATGGTAGTTTCAACGATTTTGACTAACAAAAGTGCCCTTATCTGTTATCGAATTCTAAGCGAAGGGATTTGGAGTGAAGGAGTATCTTCCAGCATATCTAGACCCTCTCATACAACATGAGGATCTTTTAACTGGTGTAAGTTTTGCTTCTGGTGGTGCTGGTTATGATCCCTTAACCTCCAAATTATCGGTATGCATGTATAATCATTCTGTACATGAAATAATTCATTCCTAAATAACATACAATATATTTTTGTTAGTGAATTTATATTGTGGTTATTAATTTGTTTCATTCTTTTTAAACATGTTAAAATTAGAATGTTATGTCGCTATCATCTCAATTGGAAATGTTCAAACAATATATTGAGAAGCTCAAGGGGAACATAGGGCAAGAAGCTGCAATGAATACAATTACCAATAGTGTATTCTTGGTGTCAGCAGGAACCAATGATTTTCTTGTAAACTATTTTACATTTCCCATGAGAAGATTACAATATGATGTCCCTGCTTATGGTAATAAGTTGGTGAAGCTAGCGAGCAATTTTTTACAGGTACAAAATCTCCATCATTTTTTATTACTGTTTTCGCCTCAAATATTAAGTTTCATATAAATCCAACTTAAGTTCAAATGTAAAAACACAATTAGACTATGCTTTTCAAGGGAGAAAACAAATACTAGCGATGAACATAAATTTACATACTTCGTTAAGATTAGTTACATATGTTCTTTCATTTAATTGAAGGAAATACATAAATTGGGAGCAAGAAAGATAGTTGTCTTTAGCACATCTGCAATTGGCTGTATACCAATTGAAAGAACCCTAGCTGGGGGAGCACAAAGAATATGTGCGGAGAAGTACAATAAAGCTGCACAATTTTTCAACAGCATGCTAAAACTACAGCTCCAAGTTCTTGCAAGCAATCTTCCTCAAACCAGGATTGCCTTCTCAGATTTCTACAAACCTCTGATGAACATCATTGATAACCCTCAACAATATGGTATTCCATAACTTAAATATATTATTTAATGAACCGAATCTTCTAAATTTATAGTGTCATATACTATTTTCCTTGAATCCCATTAATAAGGAGTACTATTGTCTTAGACGATGATAAATTTTTTTTTTTTTTTCATATTCATATTTCAATAAGTTTTCGTTTTTCGTACTTTTTTGTTTTCCTATATAGGCTTGGAGGTTACAAATAGAGGTTGTTGTGGAACAGGAGAGCTAGAGATGTGTTACTTGTGCAACAAGCGCATGACCCGAACCCGAACGTGCCACAACGACTCTAATTTCTTCTTTTGGGATAGCCTCCACCCAACAGAAAAAGGATGTGACATCTTCGTAAATCTTGTTTTACCTGATATGATGAAAAAGTTGTTTTAAGGTAATTTGATTTCTATGATGGTATAATTTGTTATTGTAGATATAATGGACCATGTTTTATGAAAAAAATGAATACAAGTTTATGTGTGTTGGTGATTTTATATTTGAACTCCACCAAAGTATGCTTTCCAGCCAGACTATTTGGCAACCCGTCCAATGGTTATGGGTACGACTGTGATATAGAGAAATAATACAAAAATTATATACATGTACGTCTCTATTTTTGCAAAAGCAACTAATGAAACGGGTCAATTGTTTTCTCAATCCCACTAAATATATACATCGACTACATCTACTATGAACACCCGAAAAGACTTAATTAAATACCTTCAAGGTTTAGCTTTTATGGTTTAAACATAAATTTATTTATGTTTTCCAAAATAAAAGTTTTTCCAATTTATTGTATTTTTATAGGTTAACTTCAAATACAAAAGTTTTCTTTTTAGAAAAAAAAAACACTAAAAAGTTTATTACTATTATTATTTTTTTACTTTTTAATTTCCAAAAGGTAAAATAACTTATAAAGATGAATATTTGAAAAACATATAAAAAAAAGACCATTGGAATTTTGACCGTTAAAAAACACTCTTTAACTAAAGCCATTGTAATAAAAATACAAACCACGTTTATCTTTTGTTCACATCCAAACTAACGATTACCGGTGGTTACCATGTTTATCTTTTGTTCACATCCTAACTAATGGTTACCGGTGGTTGTGGTTATAAGATGACTAAGACTAAAAATTGATGAGTTAACCTTTCATTTAATGACATTGGATAGGACGAGTGACATGATATTTGTATATTGCCTTCTTTTAATTTGGATTAGGGCTATTAGGAAAGTAAGATAATTTGCTTTTCGTCTCCTATATTCATTTTGCTGGTTCATCTTCTTCTTCTTCGGGTCCTATGATGGCTTCATCTTCTAGTAAATACATAATATCAACCTTGAGGTCAAAAATTTTGAAGCCAGAGAATGTGTTTGATGTTGCTTACCCTTGTGGTTGTGGGTTCCCGTCGTGTATTTGGAAATGGGTTAATGAGGATGAAGTTTCCCTAAACAAGAATACAATAGATGAAGCAGAAGTAGATTCCATTGAAGCGAGGTTATCAATTGTAGAAAATAATTTCATTGAGCACAAAGGGAAGGCGAATAAGGAATCTATGAGTTTTACAAACGAATTGGCACAAATGAGTGGGAATTAGGGATTCGGAAATGTTTGGTAATCATGCTTGCAGTTTCGCTTGTAGTGAAATGAATAATTTAGAATATATATGTGTGTAAGCTTATGCAATGTACTTCTTTTAGTATGTATGGTAAGTTGTAGTATGAATTTGACTTTATCAATGTTTTAATTAAATGACAATGTTATCAGTTACGGTTAATTATTCGGTGCATAAAATTTTTGACAAAAATAGTTTGCTTAATATCACACCCCCAAACCGGAATAGCAGAAACATTCGGGGGCGGAGGACGTCATGTGTAGTATCACAACAATTGAATAATGGTAATCAAAGCAACCACCACCATTGTATTGATAATATAGTGTTTACATTGTATTTGAATCACACATGATTGACTCCAACAGTAAATAGAAAAATAAAGACTTGAAGCTACTATGTCCATCTTCTAGAACCTGCACAAGTACCTGTCTACTAGTGCCCTGAGAATACAAGTGGTTTTGAATTAGTGTTAACATTAAAGTTAGTGAGTTCATAAGCGTTTTGTTTTAGAAAACCGGTTCATTGATCTTTGTAAAACATGTTGTATTTTTCAAGGAAATCATGTATCTCCTGATGTAATGAATTATATGTTAATTGACTCATACTAGTTCCTTCTACGAGTACTTAGTGTATACAAGTTATATATAATGGAGATCGAAGAAACAATCGATTGTATGGATATGCCTCAAGCCCACAACCAAACAAGGAACAGGAAATGGATAGGAAGACATACATCCTACTATTTCTCGGATCCTCACTGTATTTTACCCGGAAGTATTCGCTAAGTACTTACAGAGTTAATTGTAATGATCCTTTTTAGAATTGTAAGTATGTTCTCCTAGAAAATCATATATTTTCTAATGTAGTGACACGTAAGTTCCTTTGTCTCATACTTTGAAAAGTAATGTAATATGACTATATTTATAGTATGACCCTTTTTGTATGCATGTACCATGTTATACGTTCTTTAAGGAATGTATGTTTTGTATTAGAAAATAGTGTACCATAGTTATATATAGTGACCTGACCCATACCTGTTACCCCTATAATTTCTTTGTTCATACAGGTCATATATAACCAAAATCGAATAGGTAATAAACTGCGTGAATCTGCTCTAAGCCCACAACCAAACAAGGAACAGGAAATAAAGTGAAAATCACCCATTTTATTACCTATCGGTCCCTATAATTATAAATAACCTTTGACGCATAAACCAAGAACTTATAATGTTAACATTATAGGTCCCTTTTGATTTATATGCTCTTGTTGCTCGTAAAACTATGTGGTCTTATTATTAAGATAAAACCCATGAAGTAGTGTTAATCCTATAGACCTTGTTTATAATATTGTAAGTTTTATATAACCATACTAATATGACCTAGTGTCCTCTATGATGTTCTTCAGGCATTGTTATTTATGACATTTGTCACCCCCAGTCATGCCTGCCTAACTATAGCTAGCAATTTGGGTATGGGATTGTCTGTCCCGTATAGATCTATACACAAATCTCGCGCTCTCTTTTCGGGAGACTCTGGTTATAATTTATAGGACTTGAACCTGTACTGCTGTAGGTACCCAAAATAGTGCCTCACAACGCTGTATTAATTGGTTCTACGTATAGTGTTATAGTGTTATCTTGTATTAGTATTCCTTTGTATTATCATGTGGTAATGTATGTTGTAATACAAAATAAGTATACTTAAATAATTATTTTAATAGTGTATACTTGTAGTAGTGAACTAAGGTGGTGTCCCATAAACTATACCTATTATAGTTTAAATGTATGTTTTGTATGCATTGAAAGTCCTTGTAACTAAATAATTTGTATAACTCGATAAAACGATGAAAAAAGTACCTTTTTTTTTGACATCTTACAAAAGGGTTAAAGATTTATCTAATAAAATTTTATTCATGTATGTATAAGACATATACATATAAACGTATAAAACATTTGAAGTAATTTGAAATGCTTTAAAAACATTTTGAATTCGTTGAAAACGACTTGAGTTGGCATTGGTCGTAGAGTTTTTACGATCCATTAATGGAGTTTAATAGGGTTTTCATCCCAATAAGAGGGTGTTCATGGTTGAGCTTAGCTGTGAACACATGTTTTCTTTTTCACCTTGGCCGTAAATACTTCCTTGGATTTCTTTTGGACCGTGAACACATCATTTGGAAGCTTCTTGGACCGTGAACATCTTTGATCTTAATTCCTAAATCCGGAAACCCTTTTTTCTAGACTGTAAACTACTTAATCATTGTTTTCTTTAGGCCGTGAAAAGATTATGATATCTTATTCATGGATTAAACCTTGATCTTTATCCAAATATTGGATTATACCCTCCTATTTTAGTCTAGGTTTCTTTCTATACTTCCTTTTTAGTTTTAGAAACAAACTCTAAGGCTATAGAGGACACCTTGCAATAGGGATTACAATGTGATTTACAATAACACTCGGTTAGGGTTTAGACCATGCTAGGTCTAAAATTTTGAGTTGTGACATCATCCCCTCGTTAGAGGGAATTTCTTCCCAAAATTCAACTCCTAAGTGGTTACTCATGAGCTAAGGAGAGAGTTGGATACTTTTATTCCATGGGATCTTCTTGTACCCAAATGAATTTTGATTGGTGTAGAGTCTTTGGGTTTGACTTACTTATCTATGTCTATCCGACTGGGAGGATGTCCACTCGTAGTTCTGGGCAGCTTTTGTCTTGAAGTTCTTGGTAGGACTGATACCTGGTTCATCCATCATCACTTCGTGTATAAAATCTGTATATAATTAAGATTGATGAGACAGTCAGATGGGTGGCCTTGCCCTAGGTCCACAACCAAACAAGGAACATGAGATAGGGTGGAAACACACATCCTAAGTCCGTAGAATCTTAATTATTTACCACCCTGGTGTATTCACTTAATAGTGATAGGCTAACCGTATCTATCCCTACGCTCTGCACTTGAACTTGACTTGCTGCGTATGTGGTATTTCTGAAAGGTCTGCTGGGGATACTTAGGAAAGGTTATAGAAAGTGGGGTACTCCTCGCATGAATACTTCGGAGGTTTGAAGCGAGAGAAGAGTCTGAGGTTCGGTGTCGGATTTGTTGTTAAGAGTGTTGAGAGTCTCGCTAGCCAGTCGGTTAAGGTGAATGGTGTCTAGTGTAACACGTGATTGGTATAGCGAGGACAAAGCCAGTGTAGGTCGGTTGACGTCAACGGAGTACGTGTTAAGTTGCTTCGGAAGGAGCGTTTTCTTGAGGGTGTGTACGCTTATAGTGCTTTCTGTTTTAACCTCGTTATTACCATTGTGAATGTTGTGTACTGCGTTATGCAAGTACTAGAAGTAAGAGTGTTCTACTAGATAGTGATGATACTTCATACTATGTTTCCCACTAGGTCGATCTATAATTTTTTGCTGTCTACAATTCATATATAATTAAGTCCGAGAAGACAGTAGATTGATTGACTCTGCCCTAAATTCACAACCAGACATGGAACAGGAAATAAGGCGGAATCACGCATTGTTTTCACACCCCTGAACCAGACGGCGGAAACGTCCGAGGGCTCGTGTGAATAACAATTAAATGATCATCACAATGAATATACATGAAACATAACACATTAATCACCAACATTACATAATGCAACCAACATTGTTCACACCAAGTTAATGAGAATAATATTCTAATAAGATCGATAGATTCTAAACAGATAATAAATAATGAAGCAAAGAACACAAGAATGGATCAACGATGCCAAATGATTAATATTCAACACCTCTG